AGGGAGATGGGGCAGGGAGAGATGGGGCAGGATGCTCTAGGGCAGGATGCTCTGGGGCAGGGAGATGGGGCAGGATGCTGTGGGGCAGCATGCTGTGGGGCAGCATGCTGTGGGGCAGGGCGCTGTGGGGCAGGGCGCTGTGGGGCAGGGAGCTGTGGGGCAGGGCGCTCTAGGGCAGGGAGATGGGGCAGGATGCTCTAGGGCAGGATGCTCTAGGGCAGGGAGATGGGGCAGGGAGAGATGGGGCAGGATGCTCTAGGGCAGGGCGCTCTAGGGCAGGGAGCTCCCTCAGCCCCCGCCGTCCCCACGCAGCCGGAGCTGGGATGATCCAGCAGCGACCCCGCAGCCCCCCCAGTTCTGTGCCGAGGCTCCTCCGTGAGGATGAGGATGAGGATGAGGATGAGGATGAGGATGAGGAAGAGGAGCCTGGCTCATCCCACAGGGCCCCAGGTGATGTCAGGGTGAGCGAGGGGAGTGGAGCCCCACCCTCTGGGGGGATCAGAGGGGCTGAGGCTGGAAGCCCTGGGTTTCTGGATGAACCAAACTGCCAGGTCAGCACAGGAAACAGCCCCATCAGCAACAGCTCGTTGTGGGATCGTGGGGATGTGCTGCTGCTGCTGCTGCTGCTGCTGCTGCGGGCTCGGGGCGATGGGGAGCGAGGGAAACGCTTCCTGGGGCCCCTCCTGCGTCCCAGGGCTGGGACAGGCACCGGGATCCCTTCTCCAGGTGCTCCAGCCACACCTGGCATCCTTAAACCCGCGTCCCACGAGGTGTGAGAGCGCGGATGGACGCGGACACACCCCAGGACTCGGCTGCTGTGGGGTTTGTGACTCCAGCAGCGCCACCACCATGATCCGAGAGGCAGAAAGCTGCCAGCAGTGCCCGTGGCTCTGAGCCCAGGGGCTCCCAGGGGTGCCCAGGGGTTCCCAGGGGTGCCCAGGGGTTCCCAGGGGCGCCCAGGGGCTCCCAGGGGTTCCCAGGGGCGCCCAGGGGTTCCCAGGGGTTCCCAGGGGCTCTCAAGGGGCTCTCAAAGGGCTCCCAGGGGTTCCCAGAGGCTCCCAGGGGTGCCCAGGGGCTCCCAGGGGTGCCAGGGGTGTACCTTGCTCTCCGTGGCCAGCACCACCAGGCAGCAGGACTCCAGGGGTCCCCCCGCGCTCTCCGACAGCGAGCCCGACGTCAGCGCCTTGGAGCCCTCGGCACACAGGCTCTGGCTCGGCGAGATGCCGGGATCCTGAGCTGGGGGGAGACGAGAGGTGAGGGGAAGGAGTCCTGCAGGTGAGGAAGATGGAAAGCCTCTGGTTTGGAGCTGGTTTGGCCGGCTCTTTCCGCAGCTCAGAATTGCACGGCCAGATTTCCAGCCCCCGAGGCGTTTATTTGTCGTTCCGATTGGGAATGGCGAGGAAGAACGACACGGGACTCTCAAGGGAGTCACAACACGAGAATTCCCAGTTTATTGCTTCAGCTCTGTCTTATAGACAGATCCGTGGAAAGCACAGAAAGGAAACTCTTATTGGTTAACAAAGTGCTTCATCACCATCATTGGTCAGGGGGGCTCACTGCCCCCCTGACCCTCTCCTGCAAGGAGAAACAAGAGGCTGCAAAACAACACCTGCAAGGCTGTTGAGTGTCCCTGAGAATTGTTTTAATTCCTTCTCATATTTTTCCCAGGATTCTTTCTCAGGCAGCCTGAGGAGCCATGCGGCCTGCAATCTGTACAGGCACTGTGGCTCAGATTTAGCATCCGTATTTATTCCTTTATCCCACAGCCCATCCACGGGGTTTGCAATCGGGTGAAGCCCTGGCTCAGCCCTCCCCAGCTCCCTGTCCCCAAAGCAGGCAGGGGTGACACGCACCAGCTCCCTGTCCCCAAAGCAGGCAGGGGTGACACGCACCAGCTCCCTGTCCCCAAAGCAGGCAGGGGTGACACGCACAGGGCTGCACAGCACAGGGAGCACCCATGGGGTGGAGACACCTCCCGCAGCGCCCAGCCCCATCCCCTGCCGTGGCCAGGGCCACCTTCCGTGTGCCAGGAGGCTCCGTGCCCGCTCCCAGGGGCACAATCCCAACTCTCTGGGCACAGCTCACCTGTCTTGAGCACCACCAGGTGCGCGGAGTCGTCGCGGATGTAGGACACGGAGGCGATGTCGTGGATGGGCACCCTGAGGATCAGGTCCTCGCCGTCCCTCCACACCAGCTTGACGTTGTAGGCGCTGAGGCTGATGACGGCGTCGTGCTCCGGGGTCAGCTGCCCCGGGAGCTGGTGGGCTCTCTGGAACACCGCCATTCCCGTGGTGGTTTGTGGTTGGGAGGAGCTTTAGGACCGTCCACAGCTCCGTGCCGTGGGCAGGGACACCTCCCGCCACCCCAGGCCCAACCTGGGGCTCCTCTGGGAATCCCACTCCAGCCCCTCGCCGCCCTGGCAGGGGTGTTTTCCTTTGGGAAACGCTTTCCCTCTGCCCAGGACGGAGCAGAGCAAGGCCCCAGCCCCGGGGAAGCTCTGTGAACCCCCTGGGCTCTGCCTGCTGGGAGCAGCCAGGCGCTCACCTTGGCGTTGTCGATCAAGTGCAGGATCTCGCTGCGGCTGGAGGGGTTCAGGTACCCCGGGATGGAGGTGAGCTGCCCTAAGTACTGGGAGAGAAGAGCCAAAGCGTTAGCACAGCACGGACACCGCCCTGGACACGAGTCACAGAGACACCCCGAGGAAAACTGGAGATGGGTGAGAGGTGGGAATGGGGGAAAAAGCTCCGCAGAAACCTCAGAGCCCCTCCCAGCCCCTAAGGGAGGAACTCTGGAGGACGGGAACGGGCTCCCAGTGGGACGTGAGGAAGGAATTCCCCACGAGCAGGGCCCCCGTGGGTACCTTGACTTCCTTCTCGATGTAGTCGTGGAGCAGCAGGTCGGGCTCCACGCGCTCGGGAAGCGCCACCAGCACCGTGTGCAGCGGCCGCCGCTCCGTCACCTTCTCCTGAGCCTTCTTATCCCGGCCCTTCTCCCCCTTCAGGAACACTCGCTTGAACGGGGACACGATTCCGGGCTGGGGAGGGCGACAGGAGCGCGGGGATGGGGTGAGGAGGGGGCTCAGCACCGGCACCGGGGGGGGCTGGCAGCCCCTCCAGCCTCAGCCCCATCCCGGGTTTGGAGCTACACATCCACGGCTTTCCAGAGAAATCCCTTTTCCTGGGATACAGCACAAGGGCTGGGTGTTCCCATCACCAAAATGGGGAGTTTTCCACCCAAAACCACCACATTCACCCTTCCAGGTGAGAGAAATACAGCTCCCATGTGTCACAATGTATTCCAGGTGAACGGCAGATCCACAGGGGCTCTCCATGGGTGTTCCCATCACCAAAATGGGGTTTTTCCACCCAAAATCACCATGTTCAACCTTCCAGGTGAGAGAAATACAGCTCCTGTGTGTCACAATGTATTCCAGGTGAATACAGGGGGGTCCACAGGGGCTCTCCATGGGTGTTCCCATCACCAAAATGGGGGTTTTTCCACCCAAAACCACCATGTTCAACATTCCAGGTGAGAGAAATACAGCTCCTGTGTGCCACAATGTATTCCAGGTGAACAGCAGATCCACAGGGGCTCTCCATGGGTGTTCCCATCACCAAAATTGGGGTTTTTCCACCCAAAGTCACACATTCAACCTTCCAGGTGAATACAGGCGGGTCCACAGGGGCTCTCCATGGGTGTTCCCATCACCAAAATGGGGAGTTTTCCACCCAAAGGTCCACAGGGGCTCTCCATGGGTGTTCCCATCACCAAAATGGGGGTTTTCCACCCAAAATCACCACGTTCAACCTCCCAGGTGAGAGAAATACAGCTCTCGTGTGCCACAGTGTATTCCAGGTGAATACAGGCGGGTCCACAGGGGCTCTCCAGGGTTTTGTACCTCCCTGAGGATCTGCTGGGAAAACTCAACAAGGAATGCCAAAAAACCAGGCAGGAACGTTCCAAGGAGACCCCAAAGAGTGAGAAAATGACCCAGAAAATGGATTTCCCTGGGAGAAATGGGGAATTTCAGGCCTGAGGCGCCGGGTTTGGCACTGGAGCCAAGACAGGGGCTCCCAGCTGTCCCTTGGCACGGGAATGGCACGAGGATCACGCCGGGCCCCGTGAATGGCTGGGAACATCCCCAAACTGCTCCAATTCCAGCTTTACCAGGGAAGTGGAGCTGGCAGACCCAGGTGTCCCTGCTGGCCTCAGCCCTCGGGACAACCCCATCCCGGCTTTCCCGATCCTCAGGGCTGAGGGAAAGGAATGTGGGGTCTACAGGGGACAGAGAAGATCCTTCCAGTGGTGAATTAATGAAACGTAAAGCAAGGAAAAGCTCCTGGGACAACGGGAACTGCCAGCTCAGGAGGAAACACCAGGATGTTGGGGACATCTCTTGGGTCAGGGAGAGCCAAATGAAGGGATCTGACGGGACAGAGAGGACACGGCTCCACAGCCCTGCCCCGGGAGCAGCAGTGGGGGTTTTTGGGAAGCATCCCTACGTGGATCATCATCCTCCATCAGGATATTCCATAACCCCAGGGGGGCTCTGGAGAGAAGGGAATCCTGAACAGATCTGCTTCCCAACAACAGAGATTTGGGGACTCCCCAACTTGGGGATGTCCCATCCAGAACCTTCCCTGCCACCGCCTGGGGATGCAATTCCGCAGGAATCCTTCGGGAACGCGGGGATGTGCCGCTGGGACCCGGGACGTACCCACACACGCTTCCCCCTCCAGCAGGCAGGATCCAGATCCACCCCAGCCCACGGAAACCCCTTTCCCTCAGGGATGTGGCTGCATCCCCAGGGCTGGGATGAGGCCGTGCTCCCCTGGCTGGCCCGGGGACTCCCAGCCCCGGCCGGAGGCGCCTCCGGCTGTGACGCAGCCCCAAAACAGCTTCTGCTTTTGGGGCACCCCAAATCCCAGCACCCACCTCGTCCTCCATGGGGCTCCCAGCAGGAGAGGGGCTCCGGGGGGAGCCGAGGGAGCTCTGGGGGCTCTGGGGGGAGCAGGGAACGCTCCCCTCGCTTTGGGGGTGCCGGAATGGAGCTGCTCGGGGCCAGGAAGTGCCACGGCCACGGCTTCCTCCGTCCCACGTGACAGAACGAGCTGGGGACGGAACCACGGCGGCACCAGCCCATTCATCCCCTGCTGTCGTTCATTCCCTGCTCCCGTTCATCCCCTGCTCCCGTTCCAATCCCTGCTCCCGTTCATTCCCTGCTCCCGTTCCCTGCTGCCGTTCATCCCCTGCTGCCGTTCCCATCCCTGCTCCCGTTCATTCCCTGCTCCCGTTCATCCCCTGCTCCTGTTCCCTGCTCCCGTTCCAATCCCTGCTGCCGTTCCCTGCTCCCGTTCCAATCCCTGCTGCCGTTCCCTGCT